CCACAGCTCCCGCTGCAGGCAGGTGGGTCGCAGGCGGCATGCTGTGCTGCCGGGCCCCCCGAAGGAGGCCACAGAGGTTTGCATTTGGACATTTTAAATGCACAGTATCAGAGAAAACAATAAATGGCATCACACACGGTCACAACTGTGCAAAAATACGGTTTTCAAATCATTAAATAAAAAAGGAACTCACACAAGCTATAAAAATGTTGCCACAAAAAGCAAAGCTTTCCTGTAAGAAATTTTAACTGACTCTATGAACTAACCCCAGATTTGCTAAAATACAAGAACTGGAACATAAATAGTCATTATATTTTATTCATAAAGAACATTCTGTAACTCCTGAAAACCTAACTCGGGCCTCTGAGTCATGGTACTACCCTATGTTAATGGGACATTTCAAAAGAAGGAAGTTCGGATAATGTTAATGGGACTTTTTCTTCTCATTTTCCTTTTATCTTCTGGCAGTTCTGTTCTAGCCATTACAATTATTTTTACTCTTTTCATTAAAAACAAATTCTTAACCCAGCCACTGATCCCAGTGTTTATTTCAAGACAAACAAGCAACTCTCCAACTGACATAACAAAATGGCACCAGTACTGTTTTTACAAACCCCACCTCTTTCTCAGACAGGGATCTGACAGGGGACCACGATGAAAGCTAAAGGAATCCCCTTAAGAGAAATCATTTGGTTCCTACTTTCAGTGGTCAGACCAGACGGTCCTTTTAACAAGTGAAAACAAACCTTGCACACTAGTGATGAAACAAGCAGGCTGGCAGGCTGGGATTTAAATGCTCTCCAGATGGGACAGACGTACAGCCTGAGGACACAGGCAACAAAAGCACCCCCATGCCTCACTTTCACAAAAGTGCATTTGGCTGGTTGTGGAACAGATGAGGCACAGGAACCCACTCTCTGCTCTAATCATTTCTTTGTTAGAGAGTCTGACCGGAAGTGAAGTACCACCAAATGGGCTGCATTCCAAATTGTACCGTAAGTGGTAGCCAGCTTTCTTCTAAGAATCCCAGAACTTTGAAGGGAGGAACATTCATCATATCCCAGGGTGCAAGGCCAGAGTGTTCACGTCTTCTGGTCCATTCGGCCCACACTGTGACATCTCTGACCTTCCTCCCCACCAGGCTCTGTCGGCACAGGTGGCCCTACATGCAGCCAGGAAATCCGCAGCCACCTGAGGGACAGCCTCCAATACCAGGCCCCAGCTGGCCCTTTCCAGCTACTTTCTTGCTACTTTCTCCTTCATCTCAGCCCGACCCGAGCACCATCCCCTTGCCTTCCTCCACACTCAGCCCATTTCGTGGCCACACTGTCTACTTCTGCCCAACAAAAGCCTATCAATCCCAGTGGAGGGACATCCAAAAATGAAAACATCCTTCAAATGCCAGTTTCCATCTGACCTAACATGGGAAATTTCATTATCTGTCTTTAATGACAGCTGCATAATTTAGAAAGACCCACAAGCTAGGACTGGCAAAAAATACATGTCAAACTTAAGTCAGTTAAGCATAAAAATACACATAGAGAAGATTCCGGAAACAAGACCATGTCTAAAGCACAGTATCTGCATGTAAGTTCATAAATCAATAAGCACATATTATGTACACCAAAACGACATACTAAATTCAAACATACAAGCCAAAACAATCCCATTAGCCGAGAGGAAAATCAATTCTCCCCAGAAGCTGGTTGCCCTTCTTCCCCAACTGGACACATAGTAAACCTCTGTACTGTATTTACCCCACCTAACCCATCACGTTCAATAAAAGGGTAAAATTAATGACCCGCTCTCTCTGCGGCCTTGAAGAGGATTCACATGGTGGTGGTACACCAGCCACCGTCTCAACGTGGGTAAGTGTATGAATGTGAAAGTAAGCAAAAGGGACAGGCCAGTCAAATCACTTTTATGTGAATATAAAGGGTTCCACCTCAACTACAAGTGGAAACGATCTCCAGGAAAGGGAAAAACTGTTTTGTACAGATCTCTTGTGTGTGAAGGAGTACGAATCCATCAGACTCACCCTGACATTCGCCCACAAACATCAGCAAGCCCTGCCAGGAAGCTCCCTTTTCTCACAAAGTTAACTAAGTGATTCTGGCAGACCCCGGCTGTTCTGAATTTTCGCATGCATGTTAGCAAACACAACAATATAAAAAGCAAACAAATGGGTCACTAGCACCATCAAAAGAATCACAACAACAACAACAACAACCATTTTTAGGAAGTGAAGTCATAAAGCTCATTCCTAACAACCATCCCGAACTAAACATGTACACTTAGAGAATACATCCGGGTGTGAATTTACAGAAAATATGCAAAGCATCTATTACAATGATTAGGCTGGGTACTCCAGTCCAAGAAAATGACAAAAAAATACATGACAAAGTTGAACACGGGCTCTGCAAATATCAAAATAACAGGAAAAAGATTCTGAAGTAGTTCTCAGAAAACTCTGGGGGCTCTGACAAGCATGAAATAGCCCATCACACCCACAATATGCACAGGAGCTTCCAAGCCATCCGCTTCACGAAGACACAAACACAGGGAGCTTAAACACACAGATGGTTTGGCTCATGTGCAACAGAAGTAAGCCATTAAATGGGCATCCCATAAAGATCATGTGGCCCTAACATGAAACTAAAGAGGAGTCAGCTGCATGCCACAAAGACATAAATGTTCACTTCAGGTCCCCGTCTCCTTCTCCATCCCCTTGGATGGACTTTTTGATACGAAGCAACATGGTCGTGAGCCACTGATCTAAGCGAGATATTGAGTCAAATTCCTTCACCTAGTTTAAAAAAAGAGGAACAGGAATTAGTCTATGGAAATACAACCAAAACACAAAAAAACAACACCCCAAGCTGTTTAAACATTTCTAGTGATAATACTTCATTTAAATCATTCATTCTAGTCTAATAACTTTATTCATGAAAAATGGTTTGTTTAAATAATTCATTCCAGTTTATAACTCTCTTCATTAAAATGGTTTGTTTGTTCTGTGACTATCTGGATGGAGCTAGTGACAAGTTCCTGTGCTTTTTAAACCGCTCTGTGTGCTAACATGCTGAGCTCCTAACCACCTGTGTAACTGGAAGAGCATACTTAATGTGACAAAGGAAACGAGACCCTGTGTAAGAAAGGAACATGGAAAATTCATAGTGTTCTAATATTCACTGAACATGAATCAACGTACTTGCAGAGACAGGATATGTGAAAGTGGAATCCCTTTAACTCATTTCAATGCATTACCAGAAAGTGATATTTCAATAGGATGCAAATGGTTTGGTAGCCAAAGTAAAACGGGAAAACATTCTTTTCCACTACTGCTTCAAAGCCATGAGTAAATTAATGGAGGATACTAAGAAATCTGCTTGATTCTAAACATAAGATGGCAAATATGGGAAAACAGAAAACTAATGAGTATAAAAAAAAGTCTTCCATTTCTTTTATGCCAAGAATATAGCAAAACTCTCACTGTTTTTATATTTTAAGCTGTACTTAACTGATTTTACTTTATACTTATTTATGGATCAGATTATTTTCAAAAGAAAACATTCAAACAGCAAATTTTAACAGTATGTGATAGTCTCTTAAATTTGCCTCCCAGCTAAATTCAACATGGCTAATAGAATTAAGTAATTGTAAAGATTTGTGGGATATATAAAACATGACCTTTGGGAAATACAACTTAGGCATATTGGAAAAATGTTCAAATAAACGTTCAGCACTCATACAATGAAAAGATGTTTCTGTAGTTTAAGCTTCCAAGAATGTACTGTACCCCGAATGCATAACTTACTGCTTCAGTGTAAGCTTCACTGTTCTGTTCTTCATGAGCTTCTAGAAGTTTCTGGTAGCGTAAGTATGGAAAAATTAGTTTGGTAGGCTAAAAAGTTCCACCTATGAATAGATACTTTAAATACAGAAATAGCCTTAGTATCACATCAACTGACGTTGCCAAACATCTTACAGAATAGAGAAAATACTCAAATATAAGCCATGAATTATCCCAAATCAGGGACCTAGTTTTTGTGCTAACATTTCTGAGTTGCTTGGTTTAGAACACAATGCTTATGGCCTTGACTCTGCTGGCATCTGAAACCTATTCTACAAAAGCAGGAGAGTACCAGTGCTCCTCAAAGAATTAGAGTTTCACTTTAGACTTGATCCCACCTGACAGCAAAGGCTTTTTTTTCTTCTTCAAATTTGTGATGTTACTTACTTTCAGTAACTTACATTCCCTTGAATCAGTAAATGCTGGAAACATTTCCTCATATTTCTCAAGAGCAAGCTGAAAGAGAAAAGCCACTCATTAATGTCAAACTCACTGAATCAGGAAATAAAGCTCTTTCTATCTGAACATCTTATTACTTCAGTAAGATTTATCTGCAGCCTATTTAAATGTATAAGAAGTATGCTGTTAAACTCAACATCAAAATCAACACAGGAAACCCTATTCAATTTGAATTGCCAACTTCAGTTAAGAATAATTTCTAAACCAGTTTTTCTGAATTAGGTTGCTGTAGAGAGGACAACATGGACCAAATCTAATTTGTAAAAACTCACAGACCAGGTGTCTGTTTCCACCCACTACGTAAAGAAGCTCTTCCTTAACACTGTCCAGATTCCACATAAATCCCATTCAGACCTCTGCTTGAGTCTGGAGGGAAAGACGCCTTTCCTCTCAGCAGTTTTACTTCTGCTCTCCCAGAAGTTGGAGTTTGAAACAAAGGATGTTATTCCACTTTTATTGTCTCCTCTCTATGCCCCCTAATTTCTTTCTTTTTTTTATTTTTTTATTTTATTTTTTATTTTTTTATATATTTTTTATTTATTTTGAGAGAGCTAGCACACAAGTGAGAGAGCACAAGCAGGGGGAAGGGCAGAGGGAGAAGCAGGCTCCCTGCCGAGCAGGGAGCCCTACATGGGGCTCGATCCCAGGACCCTGGGATCATGACCTGAGCTGAAGGCAGACACCTAACCGACTGAGCCACCCAGGCATCCCAAGTTGGTTGTTTTCTTTCTTTCTTATTTTATTTTATTTTATCTTATTTTATCATATTTTATTTTATTTCTTTATGAGAGAGAGAGCACGGGGAGGAGCAGAGGGAGAGGGAGAAGCAGGCTCCCGGCTGAGCAGAGAGCCCGATGCGGGACTCGATTCCAGGACCCTGGGATCATGACCTGAGCCGAAGGCAGTCAACTTACTGAGCCACCCAGGCACCCCAAATTGGTTGTTTTCAAAGGCAGACATGATTCTCTAAGGTTTGGTGGACACGTGTTTTGTTTTAATTATTTGGTTTCCTGGTCAAAGAGCTAGAGATTATTATTGCTGTAAGTTCTGTTACGGTTTTGAGGTCTGTGTCTGTAAGCAAGTTAGAAAATGACTTAGATAAGCAATTACTGCTGTACTATATTTCATTAAGCGTCACTTTGGTCAATTATGTTTATCATTGGGAGAAACCCTAGTAATATTTTTTTTGTGTGTGCAAACATTATCTTAATGAGGGGGCATTAGGACTTCACTTTAGAACCCTCTAAGAAGTGGTGTGATTTATATCTTTAGCTGAGGAAAGCTACGTTTTGGCTGTTAATCAGTTTATATCCTCTAGAGAACTGAAATAATCCTAATTTTTAATCCTTTCACTTCAGTGTTTGCTCAGGCTTGAATAATTCTTGTTTCTGTTTTCAGAGCTGTTATTAGAAAGAAGAAACATGGAAAGTGGCGCAGTTCTGCTGGAATCCAAATCCTCACCGTTCAATCTTCTGCATGAAATGCATCAACTACGCCTTCTCGGTCACCTGTGTGATGTGACTGTCAGTGTGGAGTACCAGGGCGTCCGCGAAGAGTTCATGGCTCATAAGGCGGTGCTGGCAGCCACCAGCAAGTTTTTTAAGGAGATGTTCCTTAATGAGAAGACTGTGGATGGTACGAGGACTAACGTCTACCTAAATGAAGTGCAAGTCGTTGACTTTGCCTCGTTTCTCGAGTTTGTGTACACTGCAAAGGTACAGGTAGAAGAAGATCGGGTGCAGCGAATGCTGGAAATGGCTGAGAAACTAAAATGTCTGGACTTATCGGAAACTTGTTTTCAGTTGAAGAAACAGATGTTAGAGTCTGTACTTCTGGAGTTGCAGAACTTCTCTGAGTCTCAGGAGGCAGAAGGGAGCAGTGGCTCCCAAGCTGCTGTTGCTCGCAACCCCAGGGCAAGTCCCCCCGGGGACAGTCCTCTCCCTAATGGCCTCGGGGATTCCTCAGATCCCCTAGTGGAGACAATCAGCAATGGCGTGTTGCCAGATGTGCCCCCGAGGAAGTCCAAGGAGAAGCCAGACAAGAAAAAAGAGGCAGTCAAGCCTCCCTACCCGAAAATCAGAAGGGCCAGCGGAAGGCTGGCTGGAAGAAAGGTGTTTGTGGAAATCCCTAAAAAGAAATACACGAGAAGGCTGCGGGAGCAGCAGAAAAGTGCCGAGGACGACATGGGGGACACCCGCGGCCCCCAGGACCCCGACCCGGAGGCCATGGGAGCAGAGATGGAGCCCGTCCCGAAACGTGAGGAGCGCGGCGTGGGGGTGGGGGTGGAGGCGGCACAGGTGCTGCCGAAAGCAGGCGGCAGGGAGGACGCAGGCCGCGGGGAGGGGGAGGACGACGACGACGAGGACGAGGAGGGCGAGAAGAGGAAGAGCAACTTCAAGTGCACTATCTGTGAAAAAGCCTTTCTGTACGAGAAGAGCTTCCTGAAGCACATCCGGCACCACCACGGGGTGGCCACCGAGGTGGTGCATCGCTGCGACACGTGCGGCCAGACCTTTGCCAACCGCTGCAACCTCAAGAGCCACCAGCGCCACGTGCACAGCAGCGAGCGCCACTTCCCGTGCGAGCTGTGCGGCAAGAAGTTCAAGAGGAAGAAGGACGTCAAGCGGCACGTGGTGCAGGTGCACGAGGGCGGTGGCGAGCGGCACCAGTGCCAGCAGTGCGGAAAGGGCCTGAGCTCCAAGACGGCGCTGCGGCTGCACGAGCGGACGCACACGGGCCACAAGCCGTATGGCTGCACCGAGTGCGAGGCCAAGTTCTCGCAGCCCTCGGCGCTGAAGACCCACATGAGGTAGGGCCGCGGCCGCCGGGCCGGAGCCGCTGCGAGGCTGCTCTTTGCCCGCCATGCGGCCTGTTTGTGTGCTGGGGCTGGGGGTGCGGAGAGATGGAGGTCGTTCTAGGGTTTGACCCGCGTGGCTGTGTCTGCAGACGTTCCACTTCGTAATTTGTGCCCTCTAGAAATGGGGGGCGGGGCTGCTTTGGGACGTCTGTGAATTCTCTTCTCCACTCAGCCTTCCTACAGGCCCCAGGCTGATGGCCGTCCCCCTCACCCTGTGCCCAGTGCCAGCGCAGAAGCCTGGACACGGAACCCAGGCCCTGCCTGTCTTGTCGCACGGCCACTGCAGGCCAGGCTCTCCCGATCCCAGAGCAGCCTCTGGAGCTTACGGTGCCCGCCATGCTTATGCTTGAGGGCCGTTCGGGCTAATGACCATCATTGCTGTTTTCCTGACTCTTCATTGAGAACTTGGGCCTGTGACCAGCTGGGTCCCACGGTCCCATTAAAGACCTCCGTGAGAGGACGTTTAGGGCTTTAGGACACTCCTCTGGTCGTAGGTGTTCGTTCTCGGGGCTTGGAAAGTGCCATTGGTTAGTCTAACCGCCAGAATCAGGACAGTGTTTTCTGTTCATAATTTTTGAACTGTAGGTGGGGTACACCAGTTTTTAAATAGGTTTCCTTCCAGTGCTGACTGTTCGTGCTTGAAATCCAGACAAGCAGTTTCTCCTCTATTGTAGACCTGCCATCAGGCTGGGGCGTCTTTGGGGTGGTAGCATGGCGTTCATTGTCTTTTTACTCTGTGATCAGTTAAAACCTTGGCGTAGGAAGTGCGCAGTGAGTCGTGGTTGATGGCTGCTTCGTACTGGTTGTGAAACTCAAATGCTGGTGCATGCTCCTCAGAAACCAGCTTTCCTCAGCATTTTGAAACTGTTCTTTCTGGACTGGTCACGTCGTCTTAGGAATTGACGATAATGTTTTTGATCACACGGTGCTTGGTCAGCCATAGTCCCCAGGCTGTCTGTGGTCGATCACTCTGATGAGGAAGCTTTGCAAATACTGCACGGTACTATTCAGTGGTGAAGAGAGCGAGCAAAGGCGAGTGTCTGCTGGCCAGGGCCGTGCAGCGCCCCCCGCCCGGCCGGCCTCCCGCAGAAACGGACTTGGGGATGGAGGTCGTGGGCCTGTGTATTTCCACTTCAGCCGTTCCCATTCGGTCTCTTGGAATAACCGTCTTTGCAGGCTAGCGTGGAAATTGTATTGCAAAGTGAGCTTTGAGATACATCCTAAGTTATCATCTGAATGTTGTACTTTCAGAATTCATACAGGGGAAAAACCTTTTGTCTGTGATGAATGTGGTGCAAGATTCACTCAGAACCACATGCTGATTTATCATAAAAGGTGTCACACAGGTAAATACTCAATGCTGTTGTGCTTGAATGTCTTTCTAGCTGTAGAAGAAACTGCCATTTAATATAGAAGCTGGCATCTACCAAAGTGGTGCAGGCTAAGGCCGTGATATAGCTTTTCCATCTCATAAGTGAGCAAGAACGACCAGCTCACACATGCCCGGGGCTCCGGTGCTGGCGTGCTCGTGGCGGAGGCCTGTGCACACTGGGCGCTGGGAGCCGGCATGCGAGTCTGATGTATCCAGAGGTGTGAAACAGCTCCTCTGTTCTAGCCCCAGATTCCATTTCCAGGAATCTGCCTTAAAGAAGTTGTTCAAAATATGGGAAAAGCTATAGGCTGTCATCCCCCTTCTTGCTCTCCCTAATAACAGAGCATTGAAACAGCCTGATTGTCCAAACCACAAGGAAGTGGTCCAGTAAACTGGTAAATCCATCCCTTCCCGGCGCCCGATGGGGCCACTCCCAGGGCTCTGAACGTTAGGAAAAACACCTGTGCTTGGATGTGGACTGGAAAATGCACAATTATGCAGACAGCTAATCCCAGCTGCATTGAAAACCTGCACATAAAAGACTGGATGAAAATAAATTGCTATATGTTTGAGGTGGTGGGATTATCTCATTTCTATTTTTCAAAATTTTGCGATGTGATTTTATTACGTGAGGGAGAAAATTTAAGTTGACTTTATTCAAATTCAGCACAGCGATGCTGAGGTTTAGAACCTTGTATAGGATACAGAGTCTAACTGTTGTACACTGCTATTATCATACTAACCCAGTTCTTTCTTGCTTGCATTTTAAAATTTGTATCTCTAAACACTGCCATGTGAGCCTCAAGTTCAAATGCAGGCGAGGCAGAGCTGAGGCATTTAATGATGGGAATTACTGAGACTCTAAAATGAGAATTGGTGCCTAATGGAAGATTGGGGGTGGAGGTGAGGTCAGGTCAGACCGAAGCATTAAGCGAGAACCAGTCATTTTATGAAAATATTAATGTACTCAGGTTCTGTTAACGCCAGTATTTTTATTTTGATGTTTGTAAAGTCAGGGGTACACCTAATAATCGGATGAGTCGGATTTGTGGGATTAAAAGACTCAAGCTATACAACATGAAGTGGGAACATTTTTCTCCTATTCTGTAACCCAGCCCAGGTTGATTGGAGTTGCTGCCCCAGAGCAGCCGTGCATACGTGTCCAAGTAAAAACTTCCTCTCCTCCCAAGGGACTTTTGCCCCGATAAAGTGCCACATGAATGCTGCTTTGAAAAATCCAACAATTCCCCCAAACAGGTTGTAAGGTTAATTTCTTGTTTGCAATGACTAAGTTTCCAAAATGTGGGCTGACTGAATGATCTAATTCTAGGCTATGGGATTCCCAAGGCCATTTTACCTGAACTTTGAGGAAGTAGCAGGCATCTTACACGAATAGATGTTTTAGGACAGTTTTAACTAGAAGCTGTCACGTGCTGCCCAGCACGGTGCTTCTGAGTTCATCTGTGTTCTAGAGTGTGGGCCAGCTTGTCAGGTGTTCTGGTGCCTTATCGTTTCTAACTTTCCGTCTCATCTTTTCGTGTAGGTGAAAGACCTTTTATGTGTGAAACATGTGGCAAGAGTTTTGCTTCTAAGGAGTATTTAAAACATCACAATAGAATCCATACTGGATCCAAACCCTTTAAATGTGAAGTTTGTTTCAGGACTTTTGCCCAGCGGAATTCGCTCTACCAGCACATTAAAGTCCATACAGGTATGGCTGGCTTGTCATCAGGGAAGGGAGTTCAGTGTGGCAAGGATAATGTCCCAAAAGTTTTTGATTTACTAGAAAACTGTTTGGAATTTAGCGTTGTTTTGTGTGTCATAATAGCATTTTTAAATTTCTGAGTTTCTAGTTTCTGGCCCTGACAAACTGGAAAGGTATGAGTGTTTGGATGTGGATATGCGGACATTTTTAACATTTTCAGATTAGAAGTCAGGGTAATGGTCTATACATATTCATGTACACACACACACAAATCCAGTTATTATGGGACTTGGAATTTTATATTCCGTTACTGCGGAAAACAGGTGAACTTCTGTAGACGTAGTACCAGCTTTTGGCTTTGGCCCTTTTTGGGTGGAGACCATAAATCCTGGTATTAGAGGGATAGATTTGTACCTGTCAGTTGACTCTCGAGTCGTTCCCAGCATAGTCTCCCTGCTGCTGCTTGCCATTGGGCCCCAGCAGCATGACTGCAGAGCATTTCAGAACTCAGCACAGTAGGCTGGGGAGACCAACCAGTGGCTTTCTTCCCTTCCCATCTCAGGGGAACGTCCTTATTGCTGTGATCAGTGTGGGAAGCAGTTCACCCAGCTCAACGCTCTCCAGCGTCACCATCGCATCCACACGGGGGAGAAGCCATTCATGTGTAACGCGTGCGGGCGGACATTCACCGACAAGTCCACCCTCCGGCGGCATACCTCGGTAAGCAGTGGCGCGGCTTCCGCGGGGCCTGTCGCTAGTCCCCAGGTACACGTAATCTAGACAGTCAGAAATGCCGGCCATCATTCCATACGGTGGTCGTCGAAGATAGTGGGCTTTTCCTTTTCAGGTTTTCCCTGCAGGGAGTACATTCCCAGTGTGAACGGAGAACCGAGTCTCAGGGCCCCAAAGGCACAATCTGTGATAAGTGAGATTTGGCCATTAGTGAAAGGGTATTTTGCTACGGTGGAAACTAAATTTAAGTTGAAAAGAGACCATTGTTTTGAAAGATGCACTTGTTCAGAGACACGTTGTGACTTCTGTTTTGTGTTTGATTTGTAGATACATGATAAGAATACTCCATGGAAGTCTTTCCTTGTTATTGTAGATGGCTCACCCAAGAATGATGACGCGCACAAGACTGAGCAGCCGGATGAAGAATATACGCCATCCAAACTTTCAGATAAATTGCTGTCTTTTGCAGAAAATGGCCATTTTCACAACCTCGCCACAGTCCAAGGCACTGTACCCACGGTGCACGAGAACAGTTCTGCAGACACGGCCTGCAAGTCGGACGATTGCGTGGTGTCTCAGGACACGCTGCTGGCCACCACCATCAGTGAGCTTAGCGAGCTGACTCCGCAGACAGACCCGATGCCCGCACAGCTTCACTCGCTGACTGACATGGAATGAGAGCTTAATTACCTGCCAAGCAGATCCTACGCTGCGTCTCCGCGTGTGTGATTGCTGTATGCAGGTTAATGTCAGGGGCTAAGGCGAAGAACTATCTGTGGGCAGAGTGAGCAAGAATACCTTCTGCACATTTTCCTGAATCTCTGCTAACTTGCACGTCTTTATCAAAGCATTTTTAGAGCTTCCCCTTAAAAATCCCAGTCTGCATGATCTCAGCTACGCTTGATCGACAAACAAGGCAGTTAACATGATCTCACTGGATCCTGGTGCAGGTTATATGCATAATGCTTGTCCTGATGTGTAGGAAGTTTGGACAACTACGTAACTGTAGAATACAGAGCCCTGGCCCAGCTCATGAAGTTACTGTTAGTGATCTTCCTGGTCTCTCAGCCTGCCTTACCCTTCTGCGTGGGTTTAGTTCTCTGATAATTTTAAGCTATTTTTCTAGCAAGCTGAAATAAAACTGGGACCATGTATTTTCAGCTCTTTCCTGTTGAACAGAAGCAAGTCCGTTTTGCTCTGGAGACCCTTGAGTTGTACTGAAGAAATGGATGGTTGCATTCATTCCCCTCCACCTCCTGTCTGTAGGTACTAAAAAAGGAATGACAAATTGAACACTTGAAAAATGGCTTCGTATAATCTGTACTCAGAGCACATTCACAGCTAGGAAGTTGGCCATAGAATAACTGCTGAAATGAAGTGTGGCTGTTGGGTTTCATTCCTAAAGTCTGATTAGGTAAAAGCTGTCCTACCAAAGATTCTAGCAGCAAATGGTGTAGTAGGTTTTGCAGAGGTGTGAAAGTGAAGTAAGAGGCTTTAGAACACTTGAAACACTGTGGAGTCCTTTTATTCACAAGTAGCAATGAGGTGATCTGGCAAATCTTAGAACACAGAGTGTTAGTATTTTTGGCTGGGTTTTCCTGACTTTGTGATTTTCAGAAACCTAGAATTTCTCATTTACGTATCAAGAGCTTGAAACAGGCAAGTAATTCCCACACATTTGTTTCCTTGGGAACATGTGAGCATATAAGCAGAAGGGACCAAAAGCCTTGGAGTGTCTTTGATTACGCCTTAAGAGTGGATTGTGAAGAACCAGGAACTTTGTCTTCAGTGCTCCGCTGGCCGCCTGCTTAAAATGAATTTGCAGTGAAGTTAATTCTGCTGTATTTGCTAAGCCTGATTCTTGGTTCCAGTGGCTTGGGTGTGTTGCCGCATGCTAAGTGCTTTGACTCACATGTAACCCTAAACATAATAATTTAAAGAGAGAACCCCGAAGAATTCTTTTGTTCACTAGTTGCTCTTTTTCTTACGTTTTAATTTATTAAACTGGCTGTGAAAACGTTCACTTTCTGAGAGGTACTTTATCCTAAGTTCCAGGATGAAGACATAGTTGCACTATGCCAGAAAGTAATGTGGGAAGACTCTCCTGAAATGCTTATTTTGTTCTAACTTATAACATGTTAAGTAAATACGGAAGCCACTCTAAGATGTTTTAGAGGTGCTGATAACATGTTTCACACTTGCTCTTGAAGATGGCAGTACTGATTTTTCAATGATGACAGCATATCCTGGTTGTGTTTACAGAACAACAAAACTATCACACAACCATTTTACTTTTGGTAAGAGAATGAGCCTGCCCAGCTGATGTACTGTTTCATGGAATAAAGTCATCTTAATGAGAAGGAATTTAAATAATAGATTATTTTGTTACCTACTGGAAGAATTTTTGTCTTGAATTTTTCTTTAGAAATTCTACAAAAAATCGTTTAATGTGTTAATAAATGTTTGCTTTCTAAAAAGTTTGGCAGGTCTACGGTTTATTTCCACTGTTAGAATCTAGGCTCTGTAGAAATAAGATTCTTTTTCTTTTTTTTTTTAGATTTTATTTATTTGAGAGAGAGAGAGACAGCGAGAGAGGGAACACAAGCAGGGGGAGTGGGAGAGCGAGAAGCAGGCTTCCTGCCGAGTAGGGAGCCCGATATGGGACTCGATCCCAGGACCCTGGGATCATGACCTGAGCGGAAGGCAGACGCTTAACCGACTGAGCCACCCGGGCGCCCCTAGAAATAAGATTCTTAATTGGAACAAGTGTAATTCTCTTCCATTTCATGGGTAATGAAATGTAAAATCAGGATCTGTAGTCCTAGG